CAGCTTGTTTGGGGAAAATACAGAAATGAAAAAAATTCAATCTGGCTGGAAGTGGCAAATATTGACGTATACGTCTGAGTAAACCCAAACCACTGTTTACTTTAGAGACAATAGATACAACCTGATCTAACCAAGATAAATTGTTGTCAATTTTGACAACCGGATTTTTTTCAGATTTCACCTGTTCGATAATTTTCTGATATAATGCAAGGTTTAAAACATCATTGGTTCTACTCAATTTCTGTACCAATAACCATACATTTGGTTTTAATTGTATTGAGAATTATTTAGGGTACAGGCTTCCAGATACCAGGGCATGAAGGCTGCCACATACAGAGGTTACAGCCTACCAGGTACCAGGGGATGAAGGCTGCCACAGACAGAGGTAACAGCCTACCAGGGGATGAAGGCTGTCAAAGACAGGTTACAGGCTACCAGGGCATGAAGGCTGCCACAGACATAGGTAACAGGCTACCAGGTACCAGGGCATGAAGGCTGCCACAGACATAGGTTACAAGCTACCAGGTACCAGGGCATAAAAGCTGTCACAGACAGAGGTTACAGCCTATCAGGTACCAGGGCATGAAGGCTGTCACAGACAGAGGTTACAGGCTACCAGGGCATGAAGGCTGCCACAGACAGAGGTAACATGCTACCAGGTACCAGGGCATGAAGGCTGTCACAAACAGAGGATACAGGCTACCAGGTACCGGGGGATAAAGGCTGCCACAGACAGAGGTTACCGGCTACCAGGTACCAGGGGATGAAGGCTGCCACAGACAGAGGTTACAGGCTACCAGGGCATGAAGGCTGCCACAGACAGAGGTTACATGCTACCAGGTACCAGGGGATGATTGATGCCACAAACACAGTATACAGGCTACCAGGTACCGGGGGATAACGGCTGTCACAGACAGGTAACAGGCTACCAGGTATCAGGGCATAAAGGCTGTCACATACAGAGATTACATACTACCAGGTACCAGGGGATGAAGGCTGCCACAGACAGAGGTTACAGGCTACCAGGGGATGAAGGCTGTCGCAGACAGAGGTTACAGGCTACCAGGTACCAGAGGATGAAGGCTGCCACAGGCAAAGGTTACAGGCTACCAGGTACCAAGGCATGAAGGCTGCCACAGACAGAGGTTACAGGCTACCAGGTACCAGGGCATGAAGGCTGCCACAGACAGAGGTAACATGCTACAGGTACGTACCAGGGAATGAAGGCTGCCACAGACAGAGGTGACAGGCTACCAGGGCATGAAGGATGCCACAGACAGATATTACAGGCTACCAGGGAATGAAGGCTGTCACAGACAGGGGTTACAGGCTACCAGGTACCAGGGCATGAAGGCTGCCACAGACAGAGGATACAGGCCACCAGGGCATGAAGGATGCTACAGACAGATATTACAGGCTACCAGGGCATAAAGGCTGTCACAGACAGGGGTTACAGGCTACCAGGGCATGAAGGATGTCACAGACAGATATTACAGGCTACCAGGGCATGAAGGCTGTCACAGACAGAGGTTACAGGCTACTAGGTACCAGGGCATGAAGGCTGCCACAGACAGAGGATACAGGCCACCAGGTAACAGGGCATGAAGGCTGCCACAGACAGATATTACAAGCCACCAGGTACCAGGGGATGAATGATGCCACAAACACAGTATACAGGCTACCAGGTACCGGGGGATAAAGGCTGCCACAGACAGAGGTTACAGGCTACCAGGTACCAGGGGATGAAGGCGGCCACAGACAGAGGTTACAGGCTACCCGGTACCAGGGGATTAAGGCTGCCACAGACAGAGGCTTCAGGTTACAAGGTACCAGGGGAGGAATGATGCCACAGACAGATGTTACAGGCTACCAGGTACCAGGGGATGAAGACTGCCACAGACAGAGGTTACAGGCTATAAGGGGATTAAGGGTGCCACACACACAGGGTACAGGCTATGAGGAAATGAGTATTGCCACAGACACAGGGAACAGGCTAGAAGAAGATGAGGGTTGCCATGGACACAGGCTACAGGTTACAGGAGATGAGGTATGCCACAGACACAGGGCTACAAGGGTATAAAAGTTGCCAAAAGACACAGAGTGCAGGCCACAAGGGAATAAGGGTTGTCATGGACACATGGTGCAGGCTACAATGAGATGAAGATTGCCACAGACACAGGGTACAGGCTACAAGGAGATAAACTTTGCCATGGACACAGGCCACAAGGAGGTGAAGGTTGCCACAGACACAATGTAAATGTTATCAGGAACACAGAGTACAGGGAATAGGCTATAAGGGGATGTGGGTGTCCATTGACACAGGGTACAGGCTACAAGGGGATGAATGTTGACAGGGATACAGGATACAGGCTATAAAGTAATGAAGGTTGCCATGGACACAAGTACATGCTATCAAGGTATAAAGGTTGCCATGGTCACATGGTACATGCTATAGAGGGATGAAGGTTGTCACAGATACAGGGTACAGGCTATGAAGGGGTTGATGGTTGCCACAGACACAGGGTACAGGCTATTAAGGGATGAAGGTTGCCAGGGACACAGGGTACAAGCTTTAAAGGGATGAACGTTGCCACAGACACAGGGTACAGGCTATGTTGGGGGTGAGGGTTACCAAGGACACAGGGTACAGGCTATAGGAAGATGAATGTTGACAGGGACACGGTACAGTAATTGGGGATAAAGGTTGTCACAGCTACAGGGTACAGGCTATGATTGGGATGAAGGTTGACAGAGACACAGTGTAAATGTTACCAGAGATGAAGTTTGCCATGGACACAAGGTAAATGTTACCAGGTTGAAGGTTGCCAGGGACACAGGGTAAATGTTAACAGGGATGAAGGTTGCCAGAGACACAGGGTAAATGTTACGATGGATGAAGGTTGCCTGGGACACAGAGCAAATGTTACCAGGGATGAACGTTGCCTGGGACACAGTGTAAATGTTACCAGAGATGAAGTTTGCCATGGACACAAGGTAAATGTTACCAGGTTGAAGGTTGCCAGGGACACAGGGTAAATGTTACCAGGGATGAAGGTTGCCTGGGACACAGAGTAAATGTTACCAGGGATAAAGGTTGCCAGAAACACAGGCTAAATGTTACCAGGGGTGAAGGTTGCCAGGTACACAGGGTAAATGTTACCAGGGATTAAGGTTGCCAGAGACACAGGGTAAATGTTACCATGGATGAAGGTTGCCTGGGACACAGAGTAAATGTTACCAGGGGTGAAGGTTGCCAGGGACACAGGGTAAATGTTCGCAGGGATGAAGGCTGCCAGAGACACAGGATAAATGTTACCAGGGGTGAAGGTTGCCAGAGACACAGGGTAAATGTTACCATGGATGAACGTTGCCTGGGACACAGAGTAAATGTTACCAGGGATGAAGGTTGCCAGATACACAGGGTAAATGTTACCAGGGATGAAGGTTGCCTGGGACACAGAGTAAATGTTGCCAGGGATGAACGTTGCCTGGGACACAGTGTAAATGTTACCAGAGATGAAGTTTGCCATGGACACAAGGTAAATGTTACCAGGTTGAAGGTTGCCAGGGACACAGGGTAAATGTTCGCAGGGATGAAGGCTGCCAGAGACACAGGATAAATGTTACCAGGGGTGAAGGTTGCCAGAGACACAGGGTAAATGTTACCAGGGATGAAGGCTGCCAGAGACACAGGGTAAATGTTACCAGGGATGAAGGTTGCCAGAGACACAGGGTAAATGTAACCAGTGGTGAAGGTTGCCTGGGACACAGAGTAAATGTTACCAGGGGTGAAGGTTGCCAGGGACACAGGGTAAATGTTACCAGGGATGAAGGCTGCCAGAGACACAGGATAAATGTTACCAGGGGTGAAGGTTGCCAGGGACACAGAGTAAATGTTACCAGAGATGAAGTTTGCCATGGACACAGGGTAAATGTAACCAGGGATGAAGGTTGCCAGGGACACAGGGTAAATGTTACCAGGGATGAAGGTTGCCAGGGACACAGGGTAAACGTTACCAGGGATGAAGGTTGCCAGGGACACAGGGTAAATGTTACCAGGGATGAAGGTTGCCAGAGACACAGGGTAAATGTTACCAGGGATGAAGGTTGCCTGGGACACAGAGTAAATGTTACCAGGGATGAAGGTTGCCAGAGACACAGGGTAAATGTTACCAGTGGTGAAGGTTGCCTGGGACACAGAGTAATTGTTACCAGGGGTGAAGGTTGCCAGGGACACAGGGTAAATGTTACAAGAGTTTTAAGTTGCCAGGGACACAGGGTAAATGTTACCAGGGATGAAGGTTGCCAGGGACACATTGTAAATGTTACCAGGGATAAAGGTTGCCAGAGACACAGGGTAAATGTTACCAGGGTTGAAGGTTGCCAGGGACACAGGGTAAATGTTACCAGGGATGAAGGTTTTCAGGCACACAGGGTAAATGTTACCAGGGATAAAGGTTGCCATGGACACAGGGAAAATGTTACCAGGAATGACAGTTGCCAGGGACACAGGGTAAATGTTATCAGGGATGAAGGTTTTTCTGGGACACAGAGTAAATGTTACTAGTGATGAAGGTTGCCAGAGACACAGGGTAAATGTTACCAGTGGTGTAGGTTGCCTGGGACACAGAGTAAACTTTACCAGGGATGAAGGTTGCCAGAGACACAGGGTAAATGTTACCAGGGAAGAAGGTTGCAAGGGACACAGAGTAAATGTTACCAGGGATGAAGGTTGCCAGAAACACAGGGTAAATGTTACCAGGGATGAAGGTTGCCATGGACACAGGGTAAATGTTACCAGGGATGAAGGTTGCCAGAGACACAGGGGAAATGTTACCAGGGGTGACGGTTGCCAGGGACACAGGGTAAATGTTACCAGGGATGAAGGTTGCCAGAGACACAGGGTAAATGTTACCAGGGATGAACGTTACCTGGGACACAGAGTAAATGTTACCAGTGATGAAGGTTGCCAGGAACACAGGGTAAATATTACCAGACTTTTAAGTTGCCAGGGACACAGGGTAAATGTAACCAGGGATGAAGGCTGCAAGAGACACAGGGTAAATGTTACCAGGGGTGAAGGATGCCAGGGACACAGGGTAAATGTTACCAGGGATGAAGGTTGCCAGGGACACAGGGTAAATGTTACCAGGGATGAAGGTTGCCTGGGATACAGAGTAAATGTTACCAGGGATGAAGGTTGCCTGAGACACAGAGTAAATGTTATCAGGGATGAAGGTTGCCAGGGAGACAGGGTAAATGTTACCACGGAAGAAGGTTGCAAGGGACACAGGGTAAATGTTCCCAGGGTTGAAGGTTGCCAGGGACACAGGGTAAATGTTACCAGGGGTGAAGGTTGCCAGAGACACAGGGTAAATGTTGCCAGGGATAACGGTTGTCAGGCACACAGGGTAAATGTTACCAGGGATAACGGTTGCCATGAACACAGGGTAAATGTTACCAGGGATTAAGGTTGCCAGGGACACAGGGTAAATGTTACCAGGAATGACGGTTGCCAGGGACACAGGGTAAACGTTACCAGGGTTGAAGGTTGCCAGGAACACATGGTGAATGTAACCAGGGATGAACGTTGCCTGGGACACAGGATAAATGTTACCAGGGGTGAAGGTTGCCTGGGACACAGAGTAAATGTTACCAAGGATGAAGGTTGCCAGAGAAACAGGGTAAATGTTACAAGGGGTGAAGGTTGCCTGGGACACAGAGTAAATGTTACCAGGGATAAAGGTTGCCAGAGACACAGGGTAAATGTTACAAGGGGTGAAGGTTGCCTCGGACACAGAGTAAATGTTACCAGGGATAAAAGTTGCCAGAAACACAGAGGGACACATTGTAAATGTTACCAGGGATGAAGGTTGCCAGGGACACAGGGCAAATGTTACCAGTGATGAAGGTTGCCTGGGACACAAAGTAAATGTTACCAGGGATGAACGTTGCCTGGGACACAGAGTAAATGTTACTAGGGATGAAGGTTGCCAGGGACACATTGTAAATGTTACCAGGGATGAAGGTTGCCAGGGACACAGGGTAAATGTTACCAGGAATGACGGTTGCCAGGGACACAGGGTAAACGTTACCAGGGTTGAAGGTTGCCAGGAACACATGGTGAATGTAACCAGGGATGAAGGTTGCCTGGGACACAGGATAAATGTTACCAGGGGTGAAGGTTGCCAGAGAAACAGGGTAAATGTTACCAGGGGTGAAGGTTGCCTGGGACACAGAGTAAATGTTACCAGGGATAAAAGTTGCCAGAAACACAGGGTAAATGTTACCAGTGGTGAAGGTTGCCTGGGACACAGAGTAAATGTTACCAGGGATGAACGTTGCCTGGGACACAGAGTAAATGTAACCAGGGATGAAGGTTGCCAGGGACACATGGTAAATGTTACCAGGGATGAAGGTTGCCAGAGACACAGGGTAAATGTAACCAGGGGGGAAGGTTGCCAGGGACACAAGGTAAATTCAACCAGAGATGAAGGTTGCCAGGGACACAGGGTAAAGAGTAAATGTTACCAGGGATGAAGGTTGCCTGGGACACAGAGTAAACTTTACCAGGGATGAAGGTTGCCAGAGACACAGGGTAAATGTAACCAGGGGTGAAGGTTGCCAGGGACACAAGGTAAATTTAACCAGAGATGAAGGTTGCCAGGGACACAGGGTAAAGGTTACCAGGGGTAAAGGTTAAAAAAGGCACAAAGGTGAATAGGATGGAAAAAATAACCAGGGACATGAAACCAACATTTTACAAAAAAGAAAGGGGCCTTTGTAGGCCACGTCCTTAGGTGTTTCTAGTTTTATTGGACAAATCCCTACTTTGTGGAATGTTGTGGTTCAGTATTAGGTAAGCTAGTCAGTAGACGTATGAGAACTGTGACTGAGTCTGATGGGACCAAACCTTTATATAAGTACTATGCATGGTAAAACAGTGCTGGACAAATTATATGTTGATTTCTTTGAATTTGTACACTATTGTCAATAACAATTGTAGAATAGATCTGTATAAATTTCACCTGTTTCTTTTGAAGAGTTTTATGTTAAATTTTAGAAACTGATATATCAGGAGAATTCTTAATGTGGTTGATTAAACAATGGTTTCCAAGCTTTGTATCAGACCCACAAGGTTTATAATCTGCAATGTTTCGCAGCTTCAATGCGTAATAGTAGTAGCTACACTTTCTTTAATTCCAAAGTGTGTACTGTTGTTGTCAGTTATAATATCAAACCAAAATATCTGGGTTTTAGGTAAATTTTAGAGAACTTTTGTTTCTTTGTAACCAAAGTCTGTTTGAGACTAATAAAACCAAATCAGCAGACTTGTTTTGAATTAAAGATCTTGAATACATGCAGTGTATACTTGATATGGAGACCACCTGTCCGGAGTTTTTAAGTCGATACATGCCCCAGATTTAATGAAGTGTATACAAAACCTATAATTAAAAGAATTTGATAAAAATAGAAAAGAAACAGGTTCTAAACATTTCCGCTCGTGTTTATTTATGTTTAGAAAAGGATGCTTTAGTATGAGCCAAATGAAGAGAAAAAGTAAAAGAAAATGGATGATTTTTGACAAAAGTGGAAATTAAACAGATATAAACAGTCCTCCATGTTTATTTATTTTCCAGGAGTCGAGCCTTTCCGCACCGGCATGTAGAGAATCTGCAGGTACTGAACCTCGACCTGAGAATCTACAGATTGTGCGACCTTTAACCTTTTGTCAAGGGGAAACATAGATTAACACGCTGACAAGCTAAACTACAATACTAAGGTGAGGCTCTGATTATGTAATCATCAACAAAAATGTTGTAGCGTTTACAATGACATGGATTCTTTGTGCAGAACCCCACATGTTGCTGGGTTAAAAAAGTCAGTTTGCTGCAAATGTTTTTTGTGGGTTTTGGTCTCTATGTTTTCCGCTGGGGGGTTTTCACCCTCCTTTGTATCTGCTGCAGTCTATATTGAGGTAGAGTTGTTATGTTACACACCCAACAGCAGATGTGGACGATACGTAATGCATGACTCCATCTTTTTTTGCTTTTTTGTTTCCCCTATTCGAGTTGCTTCGAAATTCTGTATCCTGGGTGGGACAGCTCAGGTGATACACACAGGAAGATATTTTCTTTGTGGAGGTGTCACTTGGAAAATAATGCACTTTTTTCCCATGTTTTTCTAATAAAATCAGGACAGATCTACATAAAGTATTTGGTGCCAAACAAAAGAAAGGAGACATTCACAACAAGGCTAAGTTGATTAAGCCATCCTGTCTGTGTCATCAGTAGAAATGCCGTGGATGTACAAGTTTTCTTCAGCATATTTGTTTCCCTTTCTGACATTTCCTGACAGGATTTTGCGATAAAGGAATACTGTCACCTGCTTTCCACACACATACCCCCCCCCCCCCCCAACACATGCACACACACACCTACCCCCCTCCAAGGCACAGACACACACACCTACCCCCTCCCACGCACAGACATACACACACATCTACCCCCTTCCACGCACAGACGTACACACACACCTAACCCCTCCCACTCACAGACAGACACACACACACCTAACCCCTCCCACTCACAGACAGACCCCCCCCTTCCATGCACAGATCTACCCCCTCCCACGCACAGATACATACAGACACACTTATCCCTTTCCCACGAACACACACACACACACACACACACACACACACACCTATCCCCTTCCCACTCACAGACACACACGCATACCTACCCCCAATCCATGCACACACACACACACACACACACCTACCCCCTCCAACACATACCCCCTACACACACACACACACACACACACACACACACCTATCCCCTTCCCACACACATACACACACACACACACACACATACCTCAGCCCTCCCATGCACAGACACACACACACACACATCTACCCTCCTCACACGCCAAGACACACACTCACACACGTAACTCCTCCCCACGCACAGACACACTCACACACCTACCCCCTCCCACACACATACATACACACACATCTACCCCCTTCCCATGCACAGACACACACTCACACGTAGCCCCCTCCAACGCACAACCCTCCCATGCACAGACACACACACACACCTACCCTCCTCCTCACACGCCAAGACACACACTCACACACGTAACCCCTTCCCACACGCAGACACACACACACATGTAAGTCCCTCCCATGCACAAACACACACACACACCTACCCCCTCCCACACACATACATACACACATACCTACCCGCCTCCCATGCACAGACATACACACACACCTACCCCTTCTCACACACATACATACACACACATCTACCCCCTCTCACACACATACATACACACACATCTACCCCCTCCCACGCACAGACACATGCACACACACGTAACCCCTTCCCATGCACAGACACACACACACACACGTAACCCCCTCCCACGCACAGACACATGCACACACACGTAATCCCCTCCCATGCACAGACACACACACACGTAACCCCCTCCCACGCACAGACACACACACACCTAACCCCCTCCCATGCACAGACACACACACACACCTACCCCCTCCAACACATACCCCCTACCCCCTCCCATGCACATACATACACACACCTAACCCCCTCCTATGCACAGACACACACACATACCTACCCCCTCCAACACATACCCCCTACACCCTCCAAGGCACAGACACACACACACACCTACCCCCTCCAACACACACACACACACACACACACACACACACACACACAC